AATTGAACGGGACGTGCAAAGGCAGGGCCCTGCCTCCAGGGTTGTGCAGCTTCCACCTCCTGCTTCTGCACGGTTTGGGTCCACTGTGCTGGTACCGCCCAGCCGCCCGCTGGTAGCCGCTGCTTTGCAGGCTGTGTAGTAAACTACCTGAGATTTTAGTTTCTCCGCGGTTCCTCTTTGGAACGCAAGCTCTTGCTGTAGGTAAGTGCATAACTCCATTCTGGACTTTGGCCCTGAATATGACTATCCCTGCTCAGGAATCATAGAGGATATGTGTTCTGCCTTGTGCTTATTTTAGAGGTTACAGACTTTGTTTCTAATTCTGAAGCTCAGCTACTCAGATTTTCGTGGCCACAGTGTCGGTGGGTTCTGTCGTGGTTTCGGAGAAGCTTGCAGTGTGGTACTGTATCTCAGCGCGGTGTTTTTCCAAGAATGGGGGCCCATGAGAAGATTAGAGTCGGTTTAACGGTTTGCAATGGGGGAAAATTTTGTTTTTTTAATTTGAAAGGCAGAATAAGAGAGAGGGGAAGAGAAAAAAATATCTTCCATCCACTGGTTCACTCCCCAAATGGCCGAATCTAGGAGCCTGAAACATCCACAGGGTCTGCAAAGTGGGTGGCAGGGACCCATGTACTTGGGCCATCTTCTGCTGCCTCCCAGGCACGTAAGCAGGAAGCTGGATCGGAAGTGGCGGGGACTTGAACGAGCGCTCTGACGTTGCTGGTATCCCATGCTGTGGCTGAACCCGCTGCACCACAATCTAGGAAAATATTGTCTTTAAAGATTCACAGCAGGGCAGGCCTTGTGGCGCAGCACGTTAAGCTGCTGCCTGGCACACCAGATCACAGCTCCCTGCTAATGAACCTCGGGGGGCATTAGACGAAGGCCTGAATGCTTGGGCCCTGCCACCCACATGGGAGACCCGGATGGAGTTCCAGGCTCCTGGCTTCGGCCTGGCCCCTTTGCGGCCATCTAGGGGAATAAACCAAGGAATAGACGGTCTCTTTGTCTCTGCCTCTCTCCGGCACCCTGCCTTTCAAATAAATAAGGATGTGTTAGATAGATGTACAACCTGTGAAACAGTATACAGCATAACATTTATAGCCCAGAGCAAGGGTAAGACTTGGTTCGCACTTCACGTGGTAGAACTTTTTAAAATGGTGGATCTCTCTTGCTGATAGCCCAGGCTTTGGAATCCCTTGAACCTGAGCTGGCGTCCCAGCACGCACAGTAATAACAGACGCCACCTGTGAGGCCTCGTGTGCTCTCCCAGAGCCTCTGGTCTGTGGCTGTAAAAGGGGGGGGGTGTGTGAATGAAGAGCAGCTGGGGCCCCTGCAGGCCCCTCACCTCTGCAGCACTGGACCTGCAGCAGGTGTCCAGCTGGCGCCATTGCGGGGGGTGTCGCTGACGCGTCAGATCCTGACACCCGGGCCTGGCTGGGACACTGCACTTTGCTGTTTTCTATTTTCAGATCTTCACGCGGGGGAGATGGAGGACGCGGAAGCAAGGATTTCCGAGTGATTTCTTCCGAAGCACAGGAACCTTAACTGTTCGGGCTGCTCTGTTCTCACTGAGGTAATGCATGTTGCGTTTCTCCCTCATTCCATAAACGAGGAAATCGGTTGGTTTGTTGCTGGCTTGTTTTCAGGATGGAGGGTGACAGTGACCCAGCAGGTTTTGGGATCACACTGTGACTTGGCCCTCCAGTGACCTGTTATTAAGGAGACCCAAAGGCAGACGGAGGAGCTGAATAAGGCCTCTGGGGCTGCTGTCTCACTCCCTGTCTGCCGACAACCGCTGGCTGCTGGCTTCTCCAGGCTGAGTGGCCTCGCCGCTACATCCCTTGCACCTGGGTGCGGCCAGTGTGCTCAGCCGGGCAGCCCGCAATGTCAGGGAGCACCAGGCCAAGCACGGAGTTTCCTGCGGGGAAGAGCCGCCCGGAGCCGCAGGCAGGGCAGGCAAGTACCGACATCCCAGCCGGCTCGGCCCCAGCTCGGCGGCGCATACCAGGCGCCAGATGGTGGCAGTAACACCTGCCCTGCCTCCAGCCCTCCTCGCCTGTGTGTGCGGCCCAGGGGGCAGGTGAAGGCCAGGAAGCAGGCCGTCTTTATTTCTGTCTTCCACAATTGCCCTGTGAAGCGAGGGAGAAGCCTTGTGGGGGATTGGAAGGGGAAAAGGGAGACGTTGGCGGAGGGCTTGGCGCCCAGGGCGTCCACCCTGCTGGGGAAGCCCGTGCTTTCGGTTTATAAACAGTAGGGAGGTCTTTGAACGCACTCGCTTTCCACTCCACCAGTGCTTCCAGAGTGCTGGCGAGGCCCTGGGGGAGTCCAAGACCATGCAGCTCGCTGCGCCTTTGTAATCGCCATGTTCATCGTGTCCAGGCTCTGAGCAAGGCGGCTCTTGTTCAGCCGTGGGCGATGCTCAGCGGGGACAGTGCTGAGATAGATCCCTGCTCCAGAGTGTCAGCGATTGACCGGCGTGCGGGCTTCCAGGTTGGCACGGAGGGAAGCCGTTCTGCAGATCCTAAAGCGTTTAGGAAGGACTTTCTGCCGTCTCTCTTAAATGTTGATTTTTGTTGTTAACCGTTCGTTGTATACAGGGGCCTTTTTATTTGTACACTTTACGCACTGGCAGGGATAAATAAGCAGTTTGGCAGGGGCGCTTTGTTCGACTGCGTGGGCGGCAGGGGGCCTGTGGGTGTTCCAAAGGACAGCAGCTGAAGGCGGCACTTGGGTTTCATTGAGAAGATAGAGAAGACTCCGAGACTGGCTTTAAGCAGCAGGAATCAGACGGCAAGACTGCTCCTCGTCGTAACTTAAGCCCCAAATAAAACCCACGGGCAGCTGAAGGCGAACACTGCCCGTGAGCTGAAGGTTGTTCTATCGACGGAGACCTGTCGAGTCCAGTCTGATGCTGTGCTAGGGAGAACGGAGAATCCACCTGCCCAGGGCCCTTCCTGCTCAGGCCCTGTTACGTGATGGAGGAAATAATTGTGGAAAAATGCAAAAAGGCAGCTTTTGTGGAGGAGGAGGTCCTTTTTACCCCTGGGGGTCAGAGATTCTTTTCTTGAGAAGAAGCATTTAAGCAAGCCCTGGAAGGATGTGGAGTTTCGGCCAGAGATGGGGAGGAGATGTTTGAGATAGGAGCCTGCAGTGGAAGGGAAAGACGGCCCGGGCCGTGTTCAGGGAGAAGTGAGAACTGGTCTACGCAGGCGTCCGGTGCGGAAAGACGGCGGCGGTCTCGAATGCCAGCTAGGAAACGTGAAGGCATTAACCAACAGTGTTCTTGACTACGTGGACTGTCACGGCTCTGCTTTCGTCCCGGGGTCTAGTGAGTAGCTGTGTGGCAGGCGGAAACCAAAGGCTCCAGGAACGCGGGTAGGGGGCAAAACCAATCCACCTGGGAAGGCCTGGAGGGGCTGGGGACCCACCCCAGGGAGTGGATGCAGAAGGGAGAACTGATGGAACCTGAGGTCTCCGGGGAGGAGGCACAGGGGAGCTGACATGTTCCCAGGTTCCCAGGGCAGTGCAACCCGGAGGGCAGCTGGGGACAGGGTGCGGAGCTGCTCCACTGAGCACTGAGTGGGAGGTGCTGACGCTTCCTGGCACCCAGACAGAGGCGGGCTTTGCACTCCACCAGAAGGTGTAGTCTGGGGGTCCCTGGGATATAAGGAGCAGTCAAAGGTGGGGAAAGAGATGTCCCAGGGAGCGAAAGATTGAGGACGGATTCCTTTGAGCACACAAAGAAGGACCTAGTGGAGCAGAGAGAAATGTGGCGAGAGAAGAGGGAGGAGGCCAGAGGAACTGACTGGAAGCCGGGGGAAGAGGGTTTCCCAGCGGAGGGGGCCTGGCTCCCCAGACCCTGGAGCAGGAGACACGGTTGAATCGACAGGTGCTCGATCACACATCTGTCGACATTTTCTTCCGTGAGGCAGTAGGACGTGGAAGATGCACATTAAGTGGCTTCCTTTGCGTGGGTTTCTAGCTTGCGCAAAACAAGTCCCTGTTAAATTTGACCCGGGCAAGGCACAAAACACCCTCCTGATCCCTCAAATTCAGGCTGTCAAAAATGGTTTTTGGTAGTAGTCATGCTGTCTTCCATTGTCCGCAGGAGAAGCAGAGAAAATCCCTTAATAGAATTAGTCCTTTAAAAACTATATTTCTGTTGCTACAAAGAGTTTCCAGAAGTAATTTAACTCCATTGCCTTTTGCCATATGACTGTTGTGTGATTGTGTGTGTTTTCACATGCATATGAGCTTAGTACAATGGAATGAGGAGACTGGGGTCAGAAAAAATCGAGTTTCACAACCTAGCCGGGCTGTTTTCCAGGCTTATGACTTTAGAAAAGTTACTCTAATTTTTTCCATCCATAACTCATATAGAATGATTCTGAAGATTGAGCGATGTGTAGTTTGGTCAGGAACGGACACTTAACACATGTCGGTTCCCTTCCTCTCACAACAGTTATACATAATGTGCATCTACACACAAAACCTTATCTCTGTGAGTCACTCTAACATGCTAATTTTATCACAGAAAGCACATCCCTTCCGTTATAGCGGATCTCCCCTGTGTTAGTCTAAGTGGCCAGCAATTTAGTAGGGTAAGAATCCACCTGGTTGCTGCCTTTTTTTTTTTTTTTTTTTAAGATTTATTTCTTTATTTGAAAGTCAGAGTTAAACAGAGAGAGTAAGAGACACACAGAGAGAGAGGTCTTCCATCCTCTGGTTTACTCCCCAAATGGCTGCAACGGCCAGGGCTGGGCCAGGCTGAAGCCAGGAGCTTCTTCAGGGTGTCCCACATGGGTGGCAGGGGCCCAGGCATTTGGGCCACCCTCTGTTGTTTTCCCACGACATTAGCAGGGAGCTGGCTCCAGAGTGGAGCAGCCAGGTCTCCAACCAGCATGGCATCCATATTTATGGGATGCCAGCAGTCACAGGCGGTAGCTTAATCTGCTAAACCAGAATGCCCCCCCCCCCCCCCGGCAAAATGTGGGAGCCCAGGGCCAGAGGTTCTGATTCAGTGGCATTGGGGTGGGGCTGGAATTTGCATTTTAAACGAGTGCTGGTGAAGAGAGGAACACGTGCCTGTTTCTGGGGAGCAGAGCAGGGGATGAACCTGGGATGTGGTACTGGTTTCAGATCCTATTTCTGTTAAAGACCCATCTGTACTCAGACATGTTATATACGTATCACTGTTTAAGGATTGTATTGTAGTTGTCATCAGGTAACAAGTGGATTCCAGTGGTATTCTGGCATCCCACCCCTGCTGGCGGCGGTGTAATGGGTGACATGCGGTACTGAGTGACAGATGGCACCCAGACCAGGTTCTTTTCCTGTGCATGCAATGGTGACACCCCACCCCCATGCCCAGAGTTTGCAAAGCCACAGTAACTATTAGCTGTCATCTATTCAGTGGTGCACTGTCACTCCCTTAAAATAGCTTTTTTCAGACTTATTTATTTGAAAGGCAGAGTTATAGAGGCAGAGAGAGAGGTGTGTTGTATCTGCTGGTTCATGCCCCAAATGGCTGCAACAGCTGGGGCTGGGCCAGGCTGAAGCTGGGAGCCAGGAGTTCCATCCAGGTCTCCCATGTGGGTGTAGGGGCCCAAGCACATGGGCCATCCTCTGCTGCTTTCCCAGGTATATTAGCAGGGAGCCGGTTTGGAAATAGAGCAGCCAGACCTCACATTGGCGCTCATAGGGGATGCTGGTGTCTCAGGCAGTGGCTCAACCCGCTATGTCACACTGCCATCCCCACCTTTAAGCTATTCTGACTCATTTATCTATCTGTGTCTTATGGTGAAACGTCTCCGCCATTAGGTTAGTTCCTTCATCCTCTGCAGCTTACAATCATACATAATTTTTCAGGCTAGAGTTCATGCTGCCCATTTATCCCAGCCTCATTTCAAAGGAAAAATAATTTATCCCTTTTCTTTCCTCCCAAATCTTAGCTCTGCCCCGACTCCCCACAAAGGATTGAGACATGTGTACGTGTTGGGTGTTTAAGCTGTGTACAGAGGATCTAAAAAACTTGAGTTGTACTTTCTGTTCCCTGTTCACAATTTAAAAATCAGATGACTTTAGGGGAATATAGTTATTAAAACAATATTGGGACTCTGAAATGTCGTCAGCTTCCCGTTGATGGTTTGCTCCTTTGAAAGCAGCCTGCCAATGGCCTGGAGCCTTTCCTAGAAACGAGGTTCCTCTCCGTGCACCCGCAGCCCCTGGGGAAGAAGACAGAACTGACCCTTGCCGGCCGGCCAGCGTCTCAGCCACCTTAGCGGAACCTCCGCCAGCCTCGGCCGGAGGCTCGCCGGGTGGCAGCCCAGGCGTGGAGGTGAGGGGTTTCCTGCCCTGGGCCAGGACTCTAAAGGCCAGCTGCCTCTCTGCACACCCTAGGCTGCCTCCCCAGCCACAGAGAGGGTGTGAAACAGCTGTTGGCTCCTGACTTGAGCTCAGGAACTTAAAGACCATCATTGCTGTTCTTACACCGAAACCTCAGAATGTTTTGTCACGAAAACATGATGGGAAGCCTTGGAATTGTTCAACAAGTATCAACTGAGCCTCAGCTCTGTTTGAGGTACCAAATCAGGACCCCACCCTTCTGGGGACTCCTCTCCCCAACCTTGCTTTTTCTGTTGTCAGTGTGTTGCTGCGAGCTTTTCTTTTAGATTAAAAGCCCCCATGGGTTTGTGCACTGATGACACGAATCAGCTTGTGTCTTGCAGTTGCTGGCCTTGTCCCCGTCCCTGTGCTGGGCTGTGTCCCCTGAGTGGCCAGGCCAGAGCTCTCTGGGGCATTGCTCAGTGTGCTCAGTCAGGGCGCCTCGCTCACCCTCGGAGGCCTCCCCAGGGGCTAAGGAAAGAGCCCAGTGTCCCTGCAGAGATGGGCTGGGGGACGTCAAAAGCCTGGGACCTGGTCCCAGACCCACTGTGTGACCTTAGGTTTAGTTTCCCCACCAGTAACCAGAGAAGGTTTGACTCAGTATCGGCTGCATTTCCTTCCTGTTCTAAGGGACTGTCACTTCGTTTCCCTTTGAGCAAAAAGGCAGAGGTGCTGGGGCCAGCAGATGGACAGGGAGGGGGGGCAGGTGCAGGGCCCCAGTTTCACAGCATCACCTGCCATTCAAAGGTAGACTTGCTCCAGTCACACTGGGGTTCTGCCTTTCCTTTCCTGCACACACTATCAGGGAAAGCACATGAATTTATTTTAAAGGTTTTAAAAATTATTTTATTTTCATTGCCATTGTATTTGAAAGATAGGCGGAGCGAGGCAGAGATCTTCCAGCTGCTGGTTCCCTCCCCAGATGCCCACAGTCAAGCCAAAGCCAGAAGCCCTCCACCTGGGTCTCCTACATAGGTGGTAGGGGTCCAAGTACTTGAGCCATCATCTGCCTCCCAGGTGCATTAGCAGGCAGCTGGATTGGAAGCAGAATAGGGATTCACACCAGGGACTCTGATGGAGGTGTGGATGACTGAAGCATTGTCTCAACTGTGTGCCAAACACCCACTCCCAGTACGTGAATTTAAAAAATGGGAGATTATCCACTTTGGAAAAAAATTAAGATTTTTAAACAGCTTTATTTACTAACAGAGATGAAAAGAGAGAAAGAGAGAGAGGTCTTGCATCCATTGGTTTACTCCCCAAATGGCCACAACGGCCAGGGCTGGCCCAGGCTAGAGCCAGGAGCCAAAACTCCCCTCCAGATGTCCCACATGGTTGGCAGGGGCCCCAGTACTTGGCCCATTTTTGCTGCTGGTATCACAAGCAGTGGCCTAACGCGCTGTTCTGCAGTAGCAGCCCTGAGCTGAAGGTCCTTACGGAAAGATTGGGACTGACTGGGCATCGGTTAGAAGATGCCTGAGTGGGCCAGGGAATAGGGAATTACAGCTTTCAAATGGAATGTTGAGGAAGAATCCACTAGCCCTCCTCACATTGTAGAGACAGAAATGGAGTGCAGAGTTTGGAGGACTCGATGGGGTCACAGGGTTGGTGGCACAGAGGCGCAGACCCCACTGTCCTCCGTGTAGCCTGTGGATACGGAGCAGTGCCTGAAGAGGGGCTTCCCGCGGATGCACAGGAGGACCCCAGGGCGCAGAACTTCAGGCCGTTGGAAGCACTTGGGCTCTTGCCAGTTAAAGTAGCCAAGAGAATCTCATTTGAATCTGGGAAACGCAGGAGGCCATTCGCCATATTCTAAAGCATTTTCGCCCTTTTAGGTAAATGGAAATTAGCAAACTATAACTTATTTTTATTTGACAGAGATAGTGAGAGAGAGAGACAGAGAGAAAGGTCTTCCTTCTGTTGGTTCACCCCCCAAATGGCCTCTATGGTCCAAGCTACGCCCATCCGAAGCCAGGAGCCGGGTGCTTCCTCCTGGTCTCCCATGCAGGTGCAGGGCCCAAGCACTTGGGCCATCCTCCTCTGCCCTCCTGGGCCACAGCAGAGAGCTGGCCTGGAAGAGGGGCAACCGGGACGAGAACCAGTGCTCATATGGGATGCCAGCACCACAGGCGGAGGATTAACCTAGTGTGCCATGGTGCCGGTCCCAACTGTAACTTAGTTTTGAGAGGAAATGAGACATATACTCCAGGAATATATGAAGAGCAAGACCCAGCCAGCACCCCCTGCCCATCCCCATGTTGCTGGCCACTGCCGTGTGTGTTTGTCCCAGCATATGCATTCCGAAGGCTGTTGTCCTGGAAGTGCATCCGGGATTATTGTGGTAATGGAGTGAAGGCAGGTCTTGTGCAAGGTGAGACAGATTCGAGCTGTCACTTCCTGCGATGTGAGTTGGATAGTGGTCCTAGGCCCTGTTTGATTTGTGGTGTTCTTCCTTTCATATATTAGAACAGCTTATAGCTCTTGATGGAGTTGATGACAGTTAGATACTAAGACCACCCGCTCAGTGAAAACAAAGTTGAACGTATTACCCAGGCCAGGGAGTCCTGCCTTCAGACCCAGGCCTGGCAACCTGCCATGCGCCCTGGTGTGGGCGTGCAGCTTAGAGCAGTGCTGGGCTCCTACGCCTGAGTGAGGACTGTCTTATACAAAAGCTGCTCGGTGTTCTGGTCTGTCCCTGCTGTGTAAAGCTACTTGCTCTGATCTGCCAGTCCCTGCCATGAGCTCAGAGAGCGGGTTTCTCAGGGTCCCCAGGCTGTGTGTGTGATGCGGGACAGTCGCCAGAGTCGTGGGGGCTCCTGAGTGCCTGTTGCCCCGCTGGGCCGTCGGTGGTGTGTTCAGTCCTTCCCTTGGGTTAACGGAAGCTCCACCTTTGCTTTGACGGGAGAGGATGGCAGAGGCACTTGGAGGAAGCGGGAGCACTTGGACTTGGGAAGGCAGCTGGTCAGCACTGACACGAAGCCTGGTAGGCTTCCCTCCGCTAGTGGAGAGCTGTCAGACCCTGAGTGCTGTACCAACGGGGGCCAAACCAGGCAGAAAAAACCCCGACCTTGACCTTTTACGACATTTTCTGTCGAGGCTAGAGATGCTGGAGTGCCTTTAGCCGTCGCTCGCTGTGATTTGACGTTGTGCACCATAAATTACTCGGGTGACACATTTTTTCCTAAATGGAAATCGTGCTGTTTTGTTGCATGTTTGGTATTCTGCGTGTGTGTGTGTGTGTGTGTGTGTGTGTATGTTTGACATGTTTGGGAAACCAGTTCATTTCAATGATCTATATTAAGACTTCCTTTCTTATTCATAATGAGCTTCTGATAAGGTGACTTGTGCGTCTGTCTGTTTTAGGAAATAGTGTTCTAGGTGTGCTGTTTGTTTTTCTTTTGTGAAGTTGAAACGGGGGTCTTACCTCCGATCCCAGCCCCTGCCTTACAGGAGCAAACGGCCTCTTTCTCACCCGCCCTGTCGTCCCCTGCTTGGGGAGAATAATGGAAGCGCTGGCGATTAGTCATTGTGAGATCAGCACACACAGACTTGGGAGGACCTGAGCTGTGCTCAGGTTGTCTGTGTCCCTCGACGAATCCCCTTGTGGCAGGTGGGGGCCCCAGGGTGCCCTGCTTGTCATGTGCAGGTTGCTAAAGGCCGGAGGCCATTTTCTGTGAGGCCGAGGCCCGGGCGCAACCCCTCCCACGGTGGAATCTGTGAGCATTTGTTTTCTAAAATGAAAGCACAAGCAGAAACCCGAGCTGCTGCCCGGGACGGCCTGTTCTCTGGATTGTTCTCTAAGATCAGTATATTTAAAGCATCATTTTTCTAAACAGCAGATTGTGGGGCTTGTATCTGCAGGGGCTTGGGGAGTTTACTCTTTTAAAATACGGACAGCTTAAGTGTTGAGGTCACAGCTCTCCCCCCCACCAACCCAGATAAATCCACTGTGAAACAGGTGAGCTGAGGTTTAGACACCTGGCTACCGCCAGCGGCCTCCGTGCTGTTTCAGTTAAGTATCTTTTGGTGTGAAAGTGGCAAAAGCCAACAGGAACTTAGTTCTTTCAACATCCTTCTTCCTCCCATTCCCCAACGATTTTTCCCTGTCGATTCCCTCCGTCTCTGCTGTGGCGCCTTCTCTGTGTAGCATTTCCAAGGTTGGAGCCCCCCCGCCCCCAAGGCCTCTACCGTCACCTCCAGCCTTCCCCAGGGCCTGCTGCACCGCTCCTCCGCCCAGCCCTGCAGCTCCTGAGCCGCAGGAAGAGGCGACTGGCACCGAGATGTGTGCTGCGCCTGGCGTCCCTCCAGGGACCCCGTGTTGCCAGCAACGGCTTCAAACGGGAAACATGGGAGGAGGAACTGTGGCAAATGGAGAAGGAAATGCGTGTGCAGGCAGAGTGTTGCATGGACTCCAGTCACCGTTGAGGAGCCTGGCGGCCCGATCTCCATGCATTGGTATTCTTGGGAGTGTCCCAGGAGGGCAGGTGGAGGCCGGGCAGAGGGGCAGGAGCCGGGGCAGCCTTCTTCCCCGAGGGGCCATGCAGACAGCCCTGCAGACGGAAGGCGTCCCCCTGCCATCTCTAGAGCAGGGATTGGCTTCCGGGGGTCGGCCACCGCTGTTCCACGGGGCGGTTCTGAAGGCTCCACGAGGGTGGTTGTGACCCTGCTCCATGTGCTTTGTTGTGCTGAGTCCAGGCTCCGTTTCTATGATCAGTATATATATTTTTAAAGATTTATTTTATTTTTTTATTTATTTGAAAGGCATAATTAGAGTGAGACAGACAGAGATCTTCCATCCTCTGGTTCACTCCCCAGATGGCTGCTACAGCCAGGGCTGGGTCAGGCTGAAGTTAAGAGCCAGGAACTCCATTTGGGTCTCCCATGTGGGTGCAGGGGCCCAGGCACTTGCACTGTCTTCCAGTGCTCTCCCTGGCATATTAACAGGGAGCTGCACTGGAAGTAGAACAGCTGGGACTCAAACCATATGGGATGCTGGTGTCACAGGCGGTGGCTTAACCTGCTGTGCCACAATGCTGGCCCCATATGATCTGTACTTTCTTTTAAAAAAAAATTTACTTATTTACTTGAAAAACAGAGAGGCAGAGGCAAAGAGAGAGAGAGAAAGAGAGAGAGAGAGAGAGAGAGAGATCTTCCATCTGCTGGTTCACTCCCCAAACAGCCACAACAGCTGGAGCTGCACCGATCTGAAGCCAGGAGCTTCTTCCAGGTCTCCCACACAAGTGCAGGGGCCCAGGACTTGGGCCATCTTCCACTGCTTTCCCAGGCTATAGCGGAGAGCTGGCTTGGAAGTGGAGTAGCCGGGACTTGAACTAGTGCCCATATGGGATGCTGCTACACATAGCGCTGGCCCTGAGGACCTGTGTGTTCACAGGTGTTGTATTTGCATGACCCAGCGATGAGCCATGATGTGCACTCAGCACTGAGAGCCAGCAAGGAGCCACCGATGAAGGCCGGCAGGTTGCTCAGCAGTTGCTTCCTGCCTGGTTACAACAGCTGCCTGTGATGACGAGGAGGAGAGCTGGTGCCCCCAGTGGTGGATCTAGTATCACCAAGTGTTGATTAGCAGTCGAGTCACCCCTTGCTGAAGCTTAAAGAGACCCCACCACTAAAGTATAGGGTGGAGCGAAGGCAGACAGTTGCTATCTGCCGTTCTGCCTCCCAGGACACAGGTATTGCGAAGCTTGCGCCATGGGAATGGGCAAAGTGCAGGGTTCCTGAAGACACAGGAAGTCACCCCCGTGTATCCCATGCCGACGCTTCCCCACCTGTCCTTTCTTGAGAGGCGCACTGGGGGAGTTTTGAGAGCCTGAATACTGACATCTCATCATTTAAGTCTCAGGAGGACAATGCCTCCGTGAAAGAGGCTGAAGTTTGCTAGGCAGAACAAAATCTGTAAGTGATTTATGCTTATGTAAATTTGGGTACAGAGGTAGCAAGGTGCTAAGGACCTGAACCGCGGGCCGGGTGTAGGACGATAGGAAACGGTTAGACTGCGATACGCCGGAGGGCACGGAACTTTGCAGAACACTGTGGGAACCTATAGAAACCACACCACAGATGCAGCATGCCCAGGGGCGGCTACTTGCACCTTCTGACCCAGGCCACCAGGCTGGAGCACCTCCCTGGCCACCCGTCCAGTCTTCTGTAGAGCCCTGGACTTGAAGCTCCCCAAGGCCCAACCCAGGGGAAAGTAACGGCCACTGAGCCGCCTCTGTGGCACAGCAAATCAGCCCTCAGTCCTCGCACCTGCAAAGTCAGTAGTGTGCAGCAGGGTCAGCCGTGGAACACAGCGTGTAGGTCCAGGGACGTCGTGAGGGCATCAGGCATAGTGGCAGCCCTCATGGAGTGGCCCAGGCATGCGGTAACCCATCCCAGGCTGAAGCAGGAAGAGCCAGTAGAGGAAGGCCTGCCTCATCTGAGCATGTCACTCTGACAGCAGCCCGATGGGACCACGCCCACAGGGGCTCACGTGGGTGGCATCAGGCAGCAGAGGTCAGCCAGCAAGTCCTAAGCCCCTGGCCCCTGGGATTGGCCTCTCTGTCCCATGGATGTTTTCCAAAATACCGAGCAGCTAGCAACTTCCCATCGAGCCCCAGACTGAGAGGAGGTGAAGACTGTCCCCCGCTCTCCCCTGACACCTACTGACCTTCTGCTCACCCTGGAATTCACGACGCCTTCCCCTTTTTCTAAACAACTTTAACCACTCCCGCCTCCCTCCTGGTGCTGAGTCATCATTTCTGTGAAGCCCTTTGCACGGGGCCTGGTGTGGAGACGGTGCTCAGTAAGTGCTGGCTTTGGTCATCATCGGCTCCTTGCTGTCCCCGTTCCAGCTGTGATCATTCGCCCAGAGGGGCCGGAACTTGGTCTCCTTCACCTGGGTTTGAACCCCAGCTGTGTCGTCAGGAGTACCGCAGCTGTCTCCATCCTGGCCTCCGTGAACAGGGACCATAAATGCAAGATCCTTTTCTCCAATCCGTCCTCTTCCCTTCCCCCCCCACCCCCGCCCCGTTTCGATTGTAAGAGTTAGGCTTTTCCCGAAGCTCTGGACATGAATGAAGAGGCATTCCTGCTGTTGCCAAGCGAGGTTCTAGGGTTTATGTTGTGCGGGGTGGAACCACACTGGTGATTTCTGCAGGGTGGGATCATTCCAGGATGACTTAACCAAGGGAAAGCCGTCAGACACCGCTGCAGCGGAGCAGGGGCCTGGCAGCGTGGATGTCACCTGGCAGCCTGTTGGCAGGTGCAGAGCCTCGGCCTCACCTCAGACCCCCCTCCTCCCCGTGCCAGCAAATGCACCTAGAAAGATCCCCAGCTGAGTGGTGCACGTTCATGTTTGGAGAGCCCTGTTCTGGACACAGTAACAAAACACCGACTCGTCCCTGGCCTGGGCTGTACCAGACTGTGACCTTGCTAGCCATTAGATGCTGGGGCACGGGTTTAGAGGGTGCAGGCTGCAGGTTGTGACTTAAACGCCACAGTAGAAATGTGTGATAGGGCGACTTTGACCATGGTAACACTCTGTTTAGAAGACTGCTGTGGCCTCCTGGCTGTGCCCTTTTTTTAAAAATGATTTTATTTATTTATTTGACAGGTAGAGTTATAGACAGTGAGAAGGAGTGAGACAGAGAGAGAGAGAGATCTTCCATCTGCTGGTTCATTCCCCAAATGGCTGCAATGGCCGGAACTGAGTCAGTCCGAAGCCAGGAGACAAGAGCATCCTCAGGGTCTCCCACGTGGGTGCAGGGGCCCAAGCGCTTGGCCCATCTTCTGCTGCTTTCCCAGGCCATAGCAGAGAGCTGGATGAGAAGTGGAGCTGCCAGGACTAGAACCGGCGCCCCTATGGAATGCCGACGCCTCAGGAGGAGGATTAACCTACTGTGCCACAGTGCCGGCCCCTGTGCCTTTGACCTTAACATGGCACCTTGTTCCCTTCCACTCGCTCCAACCCCCCCACCCCACCCCATGACCTTCGGGTCTTGGAAACCCTGTTGCCAAGAAGGGAAATTCCTGTGCTCAGGGACAGACAGCCCTTGTGTGCCAGGGAACTGACGCAGGACTCTAAGGGTGGAACGGGCCTCCGCGTGGGGGCGAGGAGTGACGCACTCTCGGGGAGGATTTGTGGGGTCCCGGTGGGCTGTGGGAGAGGAGTCGTCGCCTCCCTTCCCCGCTGTCAGTGACCGAGAGCGCAGCCTGCTCCTTAGGAAGTGTTCCCTGCTGCCGCGGCGACTGTTGTCCGGGCTGGAAGCTACAGAATGGCGAGGAGCCAAGGACCACGGTGTCGTAGGAAGTTCTAGCCTCACGTAAAACCTAGGTCAGAAAACGCATTCAACTAAAGCCCTTTCAGCCCTTAAAGCTCTTGCCTACGTTTTGAAAGCGGCGTGGCCTGGCTTGTCAGTAACTGCCCACTGCGGTGAGTCTTTGGTTTCCCTTTTGTGTAGCACTTCCCGGTGGCCTTAGGCCCTGGACACTTAGGGGCCTGGGGTCCCTGGGGTAGGACAGGACTTAGGGGTGCAGCTGTGTTATCTTGGGAGTCCCTGAAATCAATCTCTCCCACTCTGTCCTTGCTCCCTCTCCCTCTCCATCCGTACTCCTCTCCCTTCCTATTCCCCTCTCCCTTCCTCTCCTCTCTCCTGCTGTGGTCTGGAAACTTGGCATGCAGTTCTGAGTCTCAGCTGTGCACGGGTTAACGCCACGGTGTCTACAATGGGTCGGATGACACCTCCCCTCCCCCACAAGGTAAATCCCCATCCCAGAACCTGTGGTCATAGCCTTCTTTGGGAAAAGGTCTTTTCAGATATAACTAAGAGTCTTGAGATAAGATCAACCAGGAGTGCCAGGCAGGCCCTAAGTCAGCAGCATGTTAATGGTCTGTAGGCCGATCAGGAAAAACTGGTTTTATTGTTAAGAAGCAAATAGCTAATGAGGAGCGGATTTTTATTTAGTGCTTAGGATGCCAGTGACCACACCTGCCTCCCGTGCCGGGGTACCAGGGTACCATCCCTGGCTCTGGCCCGATGACTCCAGCTCCTTGATGGAAGGCAGGGATGACGGCTCAAGTAACCAGATGCCCGCCACCCACGGCAGAGACCTGGATTGAATTTCTGTCTTCTGGTTGCAGACTCAGTTGTTGGGGGCATTTGGAAAGTGAGCCAGCACATTGCAGCTCTGTCATCTGTCTGTCCGTCTGCCTCTCAAATAAATCATATTTAAAAAAACACACAAACAGCTAATGCTAGCTGGTTTTCTGAGAGACAAGTACGTTTGACTCTGAATTTTGACATGCAGCAGCATACCCATTCAGCACACCAACCACAAGATGAGATGATGGCTTGTGTTGCTAACGCTTGGAAAGCCACAGATAGAATCTTCTTTGGAAGTATGGTGGGAGTTAGTCTGAACCCAAAGTCACAGTATTAGGGGCACAAGGCCAGCCTTGCCTTATACACGCTCCGGGTTGGCTGGGATTTCGGCTTTGTTTTTCTGAGCTTCGGTGTCTCATCTTTGAAATGGAACTGTCACCTCCCAGGCCGCAGGGACGACATGTGGCGGACAGCAGGTGGCATGCGTGCAGGGTATTTGTAGATGGCTGAGCTGAGCTGAGCGGAACTTGGATCTCGCCTTTGTTGTGTGTCTGGGCGGCAGGGGGAAGGCGCTGTTCTGCTGGGTAAGCGGATCCTGAAACAGTGCAGGCCCAGTTCCCCAGCGGGGCGGGGTGCGAGGAAGCTGGGATGGGAGCCCACGCCGGACAAATGGGTGAGCTGCTCAGAGGAAGGAGGGCGCAGGGAAGACTGGCCAGAAGACTGGGTCCTGCTGTGCGTCCTGCAGCAGTGGCCGGTGGGGGAAGGTAGCCGGTTAGGGTTTGGCACCAGGTCACCTGGGACCCAGCGCCAGCCAGAGACCGCAGGTCCGCTGCAGGGAGCTGATGTCTCTAGTCTTTGCTCCCGGGTGACTCCCACCAGTCCCGTTCCCAGCAGTGCTGGAGCTTCCTGGATCTGAATTCAGGAGTGTACTCACCCTGCAGCCTCAGTGTGTTGATTTTGTTGTTGCTATTGTTTTGAAAAAAAAAAATTTTATTTATTTGAAAAGCGGAGTTATGGGGGGGGGCATGATGACAGCGAGAGAGATCGATCTTCCTTTGTGCTGGTTCACTCCCCCAAATGACTACAATGACCAGGGCTGGGCCAGGCCAAAGCCAAGAGCCTGAAGCTTCTTCTAGGTCTCCCACATGGCTGCAGGGGCCTGAGCACTTGGGTCATCTGCCACTGCTTTCCCAGGTGCATTTGCAGGGAGCTTGATTGGAAGTGGAGCAGCCAGGACTCAAATCAGCACCCATTTGGGATGCCGGCACTGCAGGCAGTGGCTTAACTCACTGTGCCACAGCACCGGCCCCAGTGTCTGGATTCTAAACATAGCAGTGCCTTGACCAGGGCGGAGCCAGGTCAAGTCCTGAGAATGTGTGTGCAGTCTCCTCTAAAGGTGGAACTGAGCCTTTGTCTGTCTTACTCCGTAGAGAGGCCGAGATTTCCCAAGTTGTCACCCTTGTAACTGCGCTGGCCTTGAAATGTGATTCGTGTGGGTCAGAAGGTGCCCCGTTCTGCTGCTTTCTGGAAGGAGGCATAGAGCGCAGCCAGGCGTCACTATCCAAGACTGGCTCAGTGCTCTGGAGCAGAGACCAGCCTCCTACACTTAAGGGGGCCCAGTAGACGTATTTGAAAATAGAATTGCTACTCTACAATTCTGCAGTATTTCAGTAGGCAGGGATAGGATGGACCAAACTGAAACAATGGAATTCAGCCAGACAGATCATTACATTTTTGAGTTTCAGCTAAAAAGTTCTGCCCCAGCAGATTGGATGCCCAGGAGAGGGAAAGAAAGCAAGGGAAAAGGAGAAAACTGTGCCCCCTAAAACAGAGTCTGTGTGTTATACATACAGCCAAGCACCAGATGTGTGCACCTGCTGAGTATGAGTGTACTCTCGTGGAAGCCTCCCGACGCCCTGTGCTGTGTGTCATGTTCACCCCATTTTAGAGAATGGAAGACTTGAGGCTTAGGCCGAACACTTTCCGAGGTCACAGCTTGAGGAGAGAGGAAGATGGAGGCTTGTGGAAGCACAAGTCTGGAGACGTGTTTTGGGCACACCGCGACATGTCTGCTTCTCTGTAGAAAGCTCTTTCCCAGGGAACAGCTGAGGGGGTGTAGAGAGAGGAGGCAAGGGACAAGCAGGGTGAACCTGAGGGGCCGCTGGTGCCAGAAGCAGCCTCCGGGCTGAGGACTTCTCCGTGGAGGAGAACCCTATGACCCCTGATGCCAATAATCTCTGAAGTTGGTTTTTTCACATTAAGAAGGGGGTTAGATCAGGTTGCTGTTAGTTTCCTAAAACACCCCCAGCTCTGTTCCTGGTGCGGCTGTGCTGATTCGTCTCCCCATTTTGAGAAAGGTGTAGGGGCTGGGTGTCCAGGTCCTCGGGGTCTGAGGGCATTTCTCTGTGCGGGTGCAGTGCCATCTTGGGGACAGGCGCTGTGGCCTGGGAGAGGCTGTGGCCAAGAGTCAGGACCTGAAGACACAGCTAGGGAAGCGCTCTGCCTGGGAAGCGCTCCGCCCGAGGCAGTTTTGAAGCCCTTCAGCCGGCTCTCAGGGCTGGACCCGCCTTGGGGAATTTCCTTTTGTGACTCCAGCCATGTTAGTGAGCCTGGCTCACCTGGAGGAGCAGAATGGGTAGGCTGCACCACGTGGAAAGAGCTAGAACGTCCCAGGAGCCGAGTGCAGCACCAGGGAGTACTGTTTGCTGCACCTGTGCAGAGCCCTCCTGGGGAGCCTCCTCCGCTGCGCCCAGCACCCGCCTCCAGGTCCCCGTCTCCTCTCCTTCTTGCTGGTACCGATTGCTACCCAGATCATGACGCACGTTTTTTGTGTGTACAAGGCCCCTCGCCATCCAGGGAAGGATGAGAGGAGATCAGCTGTGAAGGAAACAGAGCACTCCATGGGAAAACAGCCCGGCTTGCCAGCCCGGTCCACCAGCAGCCTGCTGGGGCTGGCTACCTTCGCGCTTCCGTGTGTGCAGAAACCGGGCGATGATCCCATTTTGGGTCGGGGCGGTCTGAGGATGGTCCCGCTCAGCTGCTTTACCTGGGCAAGAAGGGCGCTGTGTGGCTTCTGGAAGCTTCCCTATGGTTGTTCAGACCCCAGCCTTTCGCTGGGTATTCTTCCATTGGGGCATCCAGGGCTGCAGAAAACAGAAGAGGTTTTGTATTTGTTAGCACACAGTTGCTGACTGTATGTATCATGTCCTGATGCACATATCTGTCCTTTGGAGGTTTTTTTTAATTTCTTCAGACAGGCAGAGTTAGAGAGAGAAAGGTCTTCCTTCCGTTGGTTCACCCCCAAATGGCCACCACAGCTGGCGCACTGTGCCAGGAGCCAGGTGCTTCTCCTGGTCTCCCATGTGGGTGCAAGGACTTGGGCCATCCTCCACTGTCTTCCCAGGCAACAGCAGAGAGCTGGACAGGAAGAGGAGCAACCAGGACAGAATCCAGCGCCCCAACAGGGACTAGAACCTGGGGTGCCAGCACCGTAGGCAGAGGATTAGCCTAGTGAGCCACAGGAAATGTTCTTCTAATTACATTACTTTACCAAAAATATTAGCATATTCTCCCAAGGCCTGAATATAGGAACTCTTATTACCGATAGCCCCTCAAGTTGCTATGCATTTGGTTTGGGGTGTGTATGTATTTTAACCTTTATCTGAGAGACAGAGAGATCTTCCATGCACTGGTTCACTGCCTGAATGCCTGCAACAGCTGGGGCTGAGACAGGCCAAAGCCAGGAGCTTGAGCCGCAACCTGTGTCTTCCATGTGGGTGACAAGGACCCAAGTGCTTGAGTCACCTCCCAGGGCACGAGCAGGAAGCTGGAATTGGAAGTGGAACCAGCACGCTAACCCAGGCACATGTCATATGGGATGTGCGTGTCCCAAGTAGCCTCTGAGCCGCTGTGCCAGACACCCCCCTCTGCGTATTTGTCTCTGCACTTCCCTTGCGTGAGGATTTTCAGCTGGCCTCCCTTCTTTGGGGCCAGCCTGCCCTGGGTGCCCTGGAGCTCCAGACCAAAGCCGGTCTTGACTGGACTCACTGGGAGCTCTGAAAGGCTGATGCTGTCCAGGCCACACCACTGTCAACTTCAGCCTCAGGGAAATCCTCACTCCCAGACTGACCCCTGCTCCCAAGACACAGTCACCTGCCAAGGGTTAGATTGGGTTCTTCTTCTTCTTTTTTTTTTAAAGATTTATTTATTTTATTGGAAAGACAGAAAGCACCGGTCCCTCCATTGGCTTCTTATATCATCCCAGGGGCTGCAGAAAAGAGTTGGAGGCATTATTTTATTTTCTGGAATTTTCATGGAAATTGAGGATAAAATGAACAATGAGCAAGAAAATGAGATCCCGTACTTAACATTATCTTATTTAATCCTCATAAGAACCAGGTTGCACTGTTATGTTCACTTTTAGATTAAAAAAAAAGGGGGGCGGGTGGGGCTGGTGAGGTGCAGCAGGTTAAGCCACTGCCTGCAACGCCAGCATCCCATCCGCCCGGTGCAGTTTAAGTCCCAGCTGCTCCACATCTGATCCAGGCCTCTGCTATTGAGCCTGGGAAATCATTGGAGGATGGCCCAAGTGCTTGGGCCCCTGCACCCACGTGGGACACCCAGATGGAGTTTCCTGACTCCTGGCTTCCACCTGGCCCAGCCCTGGCCATTGAGATCATTTGGGGAGTGAGACCTGCAAATGGAAGATCTCTCTCTGCCTGCCACCCCCTGTAATTCTGCCTTTCAAAGAAATAAATCAATCTAAAAAAAAAAAAAAAAAAACCAAGAAAATTGACAAACAAGTCTCGAGAGGTTAACTGCCACGTTCACCCAGCTGTTGAGCTAGCAGGACTGGAATCTGAGGCCCAGGGCAGATGAGCAGAGGGCCTGCTTCTCTCCTGAGGATAAAGGTGAATAACTCTAGGGAGAGAAGTGGTGGCCTGGCGGGACTGGGAGCGGGAAGTCTGGAATTGCTGCATTTGCGGACTGTGTTTCCCAGTGCCCAGCAATTCTCATCAGGGACGTCAGGTTTGAATGAAAATCTGCAGTAAAGCACATACACGTGTTACGCTCCAAACTGAACCCCAATTTTTAATATGTGGTATGTGTATATATATATTATCTTATTTATATAAGTATTTATATAATGAATTTATATTTCTATATGTATGTATGTGTTTATATATACATATACACACACATATATGTATGATTGAACAAAGCACAAACTAATCCATTAAACTGAGACATCAACTAAAAAAAAACATCCAGGGCCGGCGCCGCGGCTCAATAGGCTAATCCTCCGCCTAGCGGCGCCGGCACACCGGGTTCTAGTCCCGGTCGGGGTGCCGGATTCTGTCCCGGTTGCCCCTCTTCCAGGCCAGCCCTCTGCTGTGGCCAGGGAGTGCAGTGGAGGATGGCCCAGGTGCTTGGGCCCTGCACCCCATGGGAGACCAGGAAAAGCACCTGGCTCCTGGCTCCTGCCATCGGATCAGCGCGGTGCGCCGGCCGCAGCGCGCCGGCCGCGGCGGCCATTGGAGGGTGAACCAACGGCAAAGGAAGACCTTTCTCTCTGTCTCTCTCTCTCACTGTCCACTCTGCCTGTCAAAAAATAAAAATTTAAAAAAAAAAAAAAAACATCCAAACATCAAAATATTCTCTAAAATGAGTCACATGGAGCCAGTGTTATGGCACAGTAGATTAGGCTGTTGCCTGTGACACCAGCATCTCATGTGGGTGCCCATTCGAGTCCTGGCTGCTCCACTTCCTACCCAGCTCCCTGCTAATGTGCCTGGGAAAGAAGCAGAAGATGGCCCAAGTGTTTGGGCCCCTGCGACCTCCATGGGAGACCCTGATGGATTTTTCAGGCTTCTAGCCATTTGGGGAGTGAACCAGTGGTTGGAAGATCTCTCTCTCTCTATCTCTCTCTGTGTGTGTGTGTGTGTGTGTGTGTGTGTGTCTGTAACTCTGCCTTTCAAATACTTTTTTTGTGTGTAGAATAAGAGATAGGAGATCTCACGGCTCTGCCTTCCAGAAACCTTCTTGAAGAGAAGGGAGGAGAGGTGCTCTGTGAGAGCCCATGAGCTATGGCAGGCAGGGCTGATGAGGCTGGATAGAGGAGAAGAATGGCCTTGTCCCACGCAGGCTCGGAACCCACCATCTACGAGTCATACCCCAGCCTGGCCTGTGTGCCTTCGCTTTTTTTTTTTTTTTTTGGACAGGCAGAGTGGACAGTGAGAGACAGAGAGAAAGGTCTTCCTTTTGCCGTTGGTTCACCCTCCAATGGCCACCGCGGCTGGCGCGCTGTGGCTGGTGCATCGCGCTGATCCAAAGCTGGGAGCCGGGTGCTTCTCCTGGTCTCCCATGGGGTGCAGGGCCCAAGCACCTGGGCCATCCTCCACTGCACTCCCTGGCCACAGCAGAGAGCTGGCCTGGAAGAGGGGCAACCGGGACAGAATCCGGTGCCCCGACCGGGACTAGAACCCGGTGTGCTGGTGCTACAAGGCGGAGGATTAGCCTAGTGAGCCGCGGCGCCAGCCCAGAATGCCTAATTAATAGTCCACTTGAAAGATTTTTATTTAAATAGTTAATACCATTTTCCATGTGCTTCAAAGGAATGTTAACAGTACAACTGAAGAAAGAAAAGGAGCTGGGTTACATGATCCTCGTAACTAAAGGCCTGTGTGCACATGCGTATATGTGTGCATGCATGTGTGTGCCCTTGTGTGTATGTGTGCACATGCGTGCATATGTACGTGCCTCTGTGTGCACAAGTATGTGTGTGTGTGCACAATCATGCTCATGCTCACGCACTGTGGCTAAGGCTCCATGTAACTGCTCTGCATTGGGGAAGTGATGACCAAGCACCATGGGGGGGCCCCTCTGGGCACACAGGAAGTAGGACATTTGTCCCTCCCACTGAGGAATTTCGCTCCCTAATTTTGAGCATGCATTTGTGATCAAGGATAATTAATTGGTAAAAGTAAAACTAACAATGGCTACTGTTTATGAAGCTTGGTTCTTGTGCCCAACACTATGTCAAGCCCATCATAGGGGTCATCATTTAATGCTCATTGAAGTCCCAGCAGATTGTATGATTAACCCCATTTTGTGGGTGAGTAAAAAGGGGGTGCCAAGAGCACTACAAAGCCAGGTGCACCTGACCTCAGGGTTCAGGCTGCAAACGTCTGTTCCAGGCTGGACCTGGCCTGCCTTCGGTAGAGCCCTTCCCTGAGAATGGGCTAAGGCAGCACCCGGGACCTCAGCTCTCCTGGATCAGAAACCTGGCCCTCCCCACATTCTCCTTCGATGTCGCCTTAGGTTACACCCAGTGAAAGGTGGGTGGTAGGCATTCTTGAAACGAAAGTGGATGAAAATAAAAATAAAAATAAAAATGATTAATATTTATCATTGCCATCCTAAGGGGTTTTCAAAAAGATCTTGGAAGTGTGTATTATTTAAAAAAAAACTATATGTGGACAGCAAAAAAATTTTGCACCAAAGTAAACTTATCTTTTAATTCCATTTTCTATGAACTTTTTGAGGTACCCTGGTATTCTTTGAAATTTCCATTTTTTTAAGACAATGAATTAAGAGCAGAATTTTATGGCAAACACTGAATTTCCCTTCAGTGTTCACCCCAGGGCCATCTGGTGTTAGATGTGGGATCTGTGCCCATTAGCGAGAGGTGGCCCCACTCCAGTGCAGAGGCATTTCATTAAATGCAACCAATAATGACCTGGAAGTGCTGAGTTCTGTATGTCTTGGTGCTGCTGCACCTGACTAGATAGTGGTTTCAGAACCCCACTGCCTGGGTTCGAGTCCCAGCTCTGCCATCACTAGATGGCATCACTAAATGATCTTGGCCAAGCCCCAAGGCCTCTCTCAGCCTGTTTTCTGGTGGGCACATTAAGATTGCTGCAGGCTTCAATGGGACCATGTGCGACGATGTGCATGTCGTGTGGCCCGCAGTGCTGGGAACACACAGGCGTGCTTAGGAGTTGGAGCATAGCACTGGGCTGCCGTGGTTGACTGAATTTCCTTCTGCCAAAAGAATAAATTGCAGAGGGGGCGTTGCTGGGTTTGTGAGCGATGTGGCTGTCACTCTAAAGTGACCCTCGGAGAGGCTGCCCAGGAGGGCTGCTGCAGCCACAGGAGATGTTCCCCCAGCTCCTCGAGGTGCAGCGCGAAGCCCGGTGGGCCAGCCCACCTGTGCCCCGTCTCCACGGTTCTCAGCAGGAGGCGCACAGCAGGATGCTGGGAGGGCGCCTGCCTAGACACCACCTGCCAGGACGTGGATTGCGTTTGGGTGACGTCATCTCTTCAGGGTCCTTCTGGAGGTTGTGGGGTGAGTCCGAGCGCACCCTGGGGCTGCGCTCCCTCCTGACAAGCACGGATTACCGTACCTGCTCCTGCCGGAGGACGGCGGGCGGGTGCACGCTGGCTGAGCGGCTGCAGAGCAGGGCTTGGGACGCGTGCGCAGCCACAGCCCAGGCCCCTGAGGCTGGGCAGAGGCCCAGCGCCGTCTGCACATTAGCTTCTCGGGAGCTCAGCGAGGCAGAGGCCGTGGGAAGGACCTGGAAGTGATTCCTGCGAGCGGGGAGCCGTGGGAGTGCAGGGAGGGGGGCTACCACGTGGAAGCCAAGTCCTCCCAGACCCGCGGCACCTGGGCCCCACACCACACCCACGCCTCCTCGCCCGCTTCGCAGCCGCGGTGTTTCTTTAAGTCAGTTTAAAATTGTGTTGCCAGTTCCGCGTCCCTGGGCTCTGAGTGAAACCTGTGGGCAGGGCTTGAGGGATTGCCGTTCTCCTCGTGTTGAGAGCCTTGGGAGGGTGCCGCCATCTCAGCTGGTGTGGCACAGCTCAGCGGCAGGCCAGCAGTGCCGATCTGTTTTCTGTGTGTAGCTGTCTCCCACCCCCACACATGTCAGAACAGCCCTCCTGACGCTTGTATGCCCAACTGATGTCGTTCCCCCATCGGCACAGTTGGGCAAATAATGGAGCCGCTCGCGCTGAACCTCACGCTGTGGTCAGGTGTGGTGGCTCCAGCAAGCTTTGTGCCTTGCACTCACTCTGGTCGTAAGCAGAGGTCCCGTGCTAGGGAGAAGGTGCTCGACCATCTCAGCCCTCAGAGTGCTCCCTCTGCAGTAAAGTCACATCCCACGCTGGTCACATCTTGTTTTAGTACTGTCAGAGTGTGGGGAGCAACTCGGATTAGACTGTTCTCGAATTAAGACTTATTCTATGCATCTGCTCTCCCACAATATGGCGCTGGGAGAGGAGGAAACAGCTTCTACACAGCTGCCTCCAGTTCAACCAATAAACTGTAGGACCTGCTCCTGGTTGGAGGAGAGCAGCGTACTCGGCGTGTGGGTAGCAGAGTTGGGATTGGTGGAGGAGGACTATAAAGGAGGAGAGAGACAACATGCACCAGGAACATCTAAGGGGAACATCTGAGGGAACACCTGTGCAGCCCCCGAGAGAGCCGGCCGGCGGTGTGCCGCTCCCCCGCAGAAGTGGGGAAAGTGGCTAGGGGGAACCGCCCTTCCACGGAGGTGGAAGGGACGGTAGCCAACCCGGGAAGAACCAGCAGCAAACCCGGGGAGGGCCAAGCAGACGAAAGAACAGTGCAGGGTTTAGTGTCGTTCCTCCATGAAGAGGGGGAGCTACATAATGGTGGCGTGACTCGGATATGAAGCCTAGGCAGGGTCTAGTGTCATTCCTCCACGAAGAGGGGGAGCGACATCAGAGTAAGGACAATGAAAGAAAAGCATGCCAAGAATGGATAGTAGATCTACCTGCTTGGGACCGGGAGGCTTGACGGCTGAAGATCAGGGTAGACTCTTTCCTGCACTGGAGAGCATTCTGGGCCACAGAGGCAGCATGTGCAAAGGCCCCAAGGTGAAGGGAATCTTGGGGACATAGAAGGGTCAGGAAGAAGGCCAGTGGACATTCGAGTTGCAGGAAATGAGGTCAAATCACCCGAGACCTCATAAGCCATAGTAAGATAGTAAGGCCACCGTGCTTGGATTTCGGACTGTGATGAGCCCCGCTGACCATGGTTCCACTCCGTGTTGGCCTTAAGAGTCTCCCCTGTGTTGTGGCTCCCCTGTGTTGTGGCGCAGGCTTACACCAGAAATTGGCTCTGTCCCGGAAATTCTCCCACTGAGGCATCACACACTCCGGTCGGTCTTGTGCTGCACCCTGACCAGCCCCAGCCCCAGCATGAGCCTGTCTGGCCCCGAGAGCACATCAGCCTTTGCTGAGAGGACGTCCACCCCTCGCAGTGGGGGAAGGAGGCCCAGAGAACTCGCCTCCCTGCTGAAGAGCGGCCCTGGGGGTGGCGCTGTGGCGGAGGGCTCAGCTACCACCTTCAACACTGGCATCCTGCATCAGAGTGCCAGTTCACATCCCTGCTACTGTACTTCCAATCCAGCTCCCTGCTAATGTACCTCAAAGGCAGTGAAAGATGGACCAAGTACTTGAGCCCCTGCCTCCTATGTGGGAGACGAGGATGGAGTTCCTGGTTTCTGGCGTCAGCCTAACCCAGCCCTGGCCATTGCGACCATTTGGGGGAGTAAACCAGCAGGTGGAACTTCTCCAGCCTCCTCCTTCTCCATTTCCATCTCTGTTGCTCTGCCTTTCGAGTAAATAAATAAACCAGGGGGAAAAAAAGAAAAAGCAAATGCTGGCTGTGCAAATGTTTTCCGTCAGGTAGCACCTGGAAAATGGCCAGGTGTACAGCTACAAAAGATCCCAGGTCCAAGGCTGGTGGTCCAGCAGTGCCCAGATTGTCCCAGGGGTCTGCTCGCCTTAATTCCCATCCTCAGCTGCCCCTCTGACATGTTCCTCAGCATCTCTTGGTGACTTCTGCCCCTCCATCCCACCCCACAGCCCTACCTCTAGAGTCCCGGCCTGGGTCCCTTCCGGCCAGGAGCTTCTTGAGGGGTGACTTTGTGTAACAGGCCCATGTTGCAGTTGATTTCTCAGCAATGTTGCAGTGGATTCCTTTCTGAGAGGAGGAGTGTGGTGGGGGCAAGAGGCACAGAGTCACCACACAGACCCCGGGAGTTGGGTGAAAGCAGGCTTGAGGCGAGCAGCCCGCAGACTCGTTTATTGCAGTTGGTGCAACATCTTATATAGCCACGACCAGCCAATCCGGTCAAGGGGCTGTCTATGCCCCAACCAGTCACAGCCTGTTGCCAAGCAGTTTCCAAAGCCATCCAATCACAGCCTGTTGCCAGGAAGGCTCCGTTGCCAGGTGGGTTTCAAAGCCATTCCTGAGTAACTGACGCTCGCTTGCCAGCGGCCACCTTGGCATGGCCTTCTCATTCCACCACAGGCCCACAGCTGGGACTCAATGTGGGTGTCACATGCGGGGCATAGGGTGAGTGCCCTGACTCCCAGCCCTCCACGGGAAGTGGCAGGCTTTGCCATCAGCAGGTCACTTCTGGGTTCAGTTCTCACAGCGTCACGTGGGCATCACAATATAGCAGCTTCCTTGTACTGAGCGTTGACTGTGAATCCACTTAGTTCTGTGAGCGTGTCTCCGTATTTGTGTTTTATGTGCCTGCCTCACTGTTTTGTTTTTGTTTTTTTGGGGGGGGGGGATGGGAGGAGCAGAAGGGAGGATTTCAGCGAGATAAGATGCAGAGTGCCTCACAACCTGAAATGTATCAGACAAAAGTGACTTTATTCAGAATGGTTTGGGAGGCTCAGACAGCTGAGAATGGTAACGGGCAGTATTTATGGTGAGTGGTTCATGTATTGCTGATTTGCAAACATATCTAATTATAGTATAGGTTGTTCATTTGAAACATTTTATTTATTTGAGAAGCACAGAGAGATGGTTGCCTACCAAAGGGTCCCATCCTGATTGACTTACCATATACCTGCTCCCGACGGCCAGGTCTGGGTAAGGCCAAAGCCAGAAGCCAAAAACTCAGTCTAGATCTCCCATGTGGGTGGCAGGGACCCTAGCACATGGGCCATCACCTGCTGCCTCCCACGGTGTGCTGTAGCAGGAAGCTGGAATTGGAGGCAGGGCCCAGGCTTCGAACACAAGTACTCCATGTGGGATACAGGTGTGCCAGGTGGCATCTTAATTGCTGGGCCAGACACCTGTCCCAGGTGGTTCATTTTGAAAACGAGTACATTTTGAGGATGTGCTGTGTGCTGGATACTGTTCTAGGTGCTCAAGATACATCCATGGGAAAAAATAAATCCAAGATTGCTACTCTTGTAGGGCTTCACTTCTGGCGAGTAGATGGACAGTAAATCCTGAGTATGTCCGTTGTATAGTGTATTGGAATGTCTTGAGTGCTGAGGGAAAGCCATCAACAGAGCCGCAGATCACTTTTTCCGTCTGAGCCTGGCTTGTGTTTTCTATGCACAGTCTCTTCACTCACTCACTGGATACATGTTTGCTGCCGGCTGCAGCCTGGAGGTGCAGCAGTGAAGGGGGGTGGGCAGAGTGGATGGTAAACCAGCAGGCAGGTGCATGTGATAACTGCAGGTTGAAGTGAGCGGTCTGAAGGAAATGGACCAGGCCACGTGGGCAGCCCTGGCACCAGTGTGTCTCAAGGTCCTGGGACTGGAAGAGACTTGGAGGGAGCATGAGGGGAGCCGAGCAGGCAAGGCTGGGGTGCGGGGTGGGCCGTGGACAGGGCAGGCCTGCCGTGAGGAGTTGGGATGTCATCCTAAAGCAGGGAAGGCCTCTGCGGGGTTTTAGCACAGCTTGCCTGGATCTCGTTTGTGTTTTGAAAAGACCACCCCATAACCCGCGTGAGGGGTGGCAGTTCTCTCCCTGGCCGCCAGCAGGGCAGGCCCCCGACCAGTCTCGAGCTGGTGCAGCGGACACTCCTGTGTGCCCGTGGTGCTTTTCCTGGGCCATCCTCTCGCTTGCTCCTCGATGCACGGTTTCAGGTTCCTTCCGGAGGAACTGGTGTACACTGTGATTCACTGTCTGGTGTTGCTGTGGATTCGTTCTGAGAGAAGTGCGGTGAGGGCAAGAGGCGCGGAGTCACCACTCAGATACCAGGAGTCGGGTGAAAGTGGGCCAGAAGCGAGCAGCCCACAGACTCATTCATTTCAGTTGGTGCAGCAGCCAATCCAGTAAGGGGCGGTTTATGCCCTAACCAATCACTGCCTGTTGCCAGGCAGGCTCCCTTGCCAGGTGGGTTCTGAAGCCATTTCCTGAGTAACTGACGCTCACTTGCCAGCACCATCTTGGCATGGCCTTCTCATTCCACCACATTTACCCCTTTTCATTTATTTTTGAGCAACAGGAGGCATGATCCTTGGCTATACCATTGTTGACTCTGTTTCCATGTGGTCTCTGTACATGTCTATGCCTGTTTTAGCTTGTCCCCCAGGGGATCTTATCCATGGTTGACTAACCAGCCCTCAAAATGGGAGACCCCAGGAGTGCTTGCTCAGATGGAGGTAGGAATGAGAAAGAATGGTAATCAGGAATGGCATGACCACACGCAGGTTGTGGGCCATTCGAGTGGCTGACCAGAGCTAGAGGGGTGTAAAGCAGTAGTGGATGTGGCTGTGGGCAGTTCCTCAGGGAAAGATGATAGGGCAGATGCGTCTGCTAACAAGGCAGACTCTCAGTCTTGTTCAGCTGGTTCTAGTTGACTGTCAGTTGCAGGCTTGATGTTTCTGGCTGGTACCCAATGGGCTGTCCCGCATTCTCTGGAAAGACACAAGCATATCCTCGGCCCTTGGTTAGGAGAGGGTGTGGTCCCTTCATTCTCCTGTCAGGGGGTCTTTCCACCTAACTATAGGGGATGGGGTCTGGGATAGAAAGGATCCCCAGTGTTTATAAGCTGGATTGACCCCTTGGGAATCAAAAGTAAGAAAATTGATAGTGAAAAGGACCTCAGTCAAAGCAAGCTTTGGGTCTGGGGGCATATGATTGTTTTTCTTTGTAAGAGATCTTTAATCATCCTATGAATTCTTTCAATGATTGGCTGCCCGTGTGGGTTGTATGGGATACCTGTGACAGATTGTATGTTCCAGGACATCAGGAAGGAATTAAATTCCTGTGATGTATACGCTGGCCCATTACCTGTCTCTATGGTCCAGGAGACACTGAGGATCAGCATGGCTGACTGACATTAGTAGCCTTTTCTCCAGATTGGGCTGTTGCAAATACAGCCTTTGAATAAGTATCTACCACCACATGGACAAACTGAAGTTTACCAAAGGAGTTAATGTGGGTGATGTCCTCTTGCCAGAGCTTATTGGGAGCAAGTTCTCATGGGTTCACTCCTGCTTGTTGCGGTGGCCCTAATGGGGAGAGGAGGGTGCAGTTCTTGTAAGAGCGCACTAGGTGTTTGCATTGGCTCATTGTTAGCTCTGGGAAAATGTTGCTTGCTTACATATGAAAATTTTAGGGTAGTATATGGGCCTGTTCTAGGTGTCCAATAGAAGCCATGTTGCAGGAAATAAGACGATCAACCTTTTCATTGCCTTGGGAAGTAAAGCCAGGTAACCCAGTATGTGATTTTATGTGTGAGATATACCATGGGTGTTTTCTATTCTCAGTTAGCTCTTTAAGTGTCATGAACACCTGGTCAACTGGCTTATTGGTCAGGTTAAAGACTGCAAAAGGGATCGTCTTTGCTTCTTGAACTGAGTATTTGCTGTCCGAAAATATATTTAGCAGCCCATCCTGGCTAAGGAGTAGAACCCTGACTATTGGCCTTATTTCTCCCACCTGTACTGATCCCCCATGGGGTTCTTCATGGATCTTGTCTTTTTCTGTTGAGGACTTGATCACTACTCCAGACTGTGACTTGTTGGCATCTGTAAACGCACACAGGTTGATTAGCAGGGAAAGCATGTTTGTATAGTCTGTTTCTAAGGTTTGTAATGTCTGGAGTAGCCTGTCTGCCGGCAGGTGATTGTCAACCTGTCCTGGGAAATTTATCATAAAGTTTGAAAGAACATGCTATTCTGCATCAATGTGGACAGTTCTAATTGCGATAGGGGTAGGACCACTATGTCTGACTCTGTGTTAAATATCTTATTGGCATAATATCTTAATTTACGTCCCATCATAAGGATGGCATCTACTTTGTTAGTGATTTTATGGCACTCGCTCCAGGCTATGTCTGCCCAAAGTGGTCCATCTTGTTGCCAAAAAACTCCTAAGGGGGCCTTGAGGGTAGATACGGTTATGGCAAATAGAGGCACCCAAGGGTCATATCTAAAGGTTTTTAAATTTGACAACTGGGTGTTGATCTTTTCTATAGTGCATTCGGCTGCTGGTGTCAATGTGATATTTGAGGAAGGCTGTTCCCCTTAGTAAATTGAATAACGGTCTAAGTTCTGCAGGGGCTGGAGGACAGAAGGGCTTCAGCCAATTGGTTTGGCTGCATAGTTGCTGAAGTTCATAAGTGAGTATTTATGCTTGACTTTTAGGTTTGGGCCCCTTGGAGATATATGGGAGAAGATTTGAGAACCCAGGAATTGAAAGGAAGGAAAATGTTGTGCCTTTTCTGTGGCAATAGACAAACCCAGGAATTGTAAATTTCTTACTGCCTCACCTAGACAGGCCTTCAGGGTTGCCACATTCTCGTGAGCAAGTAAGATCCACATAATGCATGACCAAACACTGATCTTTTAAGTGTGCTGGTCACATGCAAAATGTATCTTTGGCAAATAGCAGGGCTGTTTTTCATGCCTTGTGGGAGTACTGTCCACTGAAATCTTTTTGCAGGGAGCTGGAAATTGGGCTCCCACACTGTAAAGGCGAAGTAGGCCTTATCCTCCTCCACGATGGGAATGGAAAAGACACAATCTTTAATATCAATGGTAACTATGTGGTATCCATTAGGAATGGCCCTGGATGGGGAGTGCCAGCCTGGAATGTTCCCATCTTTTTAATTATTTTGTTGATGGCTCTCAAATCCTGTAGTAGCCTATATTTTCCCTGTTTCTTTGGTATCACAAAAATGGGTGTGTTGTAAGGGCTAGTGGAGGGCTCTATGTGTCCCTTTTCCAATTGTTCCTGTACCAGTTCTCTAAG